GAACTAATGTGGGCTGGACCCTGACAGTAGATTTAAGAAGGACTTGGCTACTGCCATTCGAGAATTAAAACTGTGACTTCATCATACCCACTGCAAGAGTACAGGGCTCCCAAATCACGCCTGGCAGAAGTGAAATATCCCAGATTCAGGTGATCTGGACTGAGGCAATCGCAGAGAATAGACCCAGGTCTTACGTTTCATCTACACTTCAGTCCTCCCTCCAAAACTCACAGCCTGCTTCTTGCCATCACCTCCTCTGTGAGCTTGCCAATGGCTCCATTTTAAGGCTCTGCTGGGCTGCACTGAACCTTATGTATCATTACATGTGATATATCATGCACAGAGCACTTCCTCGAAGCAGTAGGCTTCACCTACTTTCGTCCGAGTCCAGCCTTGTTTAGTCATTTAAACAAAAGTTTAGCCAACTGTTGGATACTTCTGTCCCTAAAGGAACATAACTGTAGCCAAACAGTACAAATGATCACCCTAGAGTCAAATTTGGCTTCCAGAGTATCCTGGTCTCCTCCAGATATAGCTCAGCAGTGCTTTCATTCTTACTTGGAAAATGTACAGATAAACACTTAATTATAATGTAACCTAAGATCTCCAGACTTTCCTTTTTACTGTCCTTTTACTTTCTGGCCAGGAAAGGAATGCTAGAAAAAGAGCATTTTTGTAATTATGCTTAAAAACATGGCTTATACACATATTGAAAGCGCCTTACGTAACTTCTAGTGGAAATCTAACAAAGTAAACCAAACACTGTGACCAAGGGATAGCACAATTAAATCTGCAGTAACGTACATCACCTAAATACACTTAAAACAATAATGAACTATGCATAAAAGTAGAAAAATATTTCTTAAACAGCCTGCAGAGAGCACTAAACAAAATGGTTGCTGCCAGAAACATATCAGCTCTGACAAGAATGTCATATGAATCATGCGTTCCAAAACAAAATCAAAATCCACCTTGCTCCACAGCGCAAAGGCAAAGAGTTCAGGGCCCTGGGGACACACATCACCTTTTACTGATGCTAAAGTGTCCCCAGATGACCTCTACCTGCTATGATGGTGAACAGGCTTTCACAGATGGTGAAAAAGCAGTATCCCTGATACAAACAACAACAAAAGGGAATGCCTAAGCAAAGGCTGCTCGTGTCCCTGACACAAATATCAGAAATATGATTACAACAGTAGTAAGTTACTTGGAATAGATATAAAATTCAAGTTTTGGAACTGAGGTAAACACCTTGGTGAGAAAGAAAAAATACGAGAAGGGATTTCAAATAGGCAGACTCATCTGGATCTGCTTACAGCATGGTCCTCCACAGCAACTGGAAATTCACTGGCTGCTCTCATGCTGAGTCCAGTGCATTCTCGCATTTCTAAGTCTCTATCAAGACTTAGAACATCTGTGATCAAAAGACCAGAATGAAAAACACCATAATAATATAGCCGAGTAGGAGAACGCCTATATAGTATGGTATTAACTTGGTTTGCCCTTTGAGGAGACAGAAACATTGGTATTTTTGGGACATGGCACAGGGCTAGAGGACATGGGAGCAGGATCACTGCACAAGCACATACTTTCTGTACAAAGCCTCTTGATGGTAAACTGCACAAAATTGAAACACATAAATTTTAGGATCTAGTCTCTTCACAGAATGGTTAAGGTTGGAAGGGACCTCTAGAGATCATCTAGTCTGAGAGTCCCCTGCTCCAGCAGAGCCACCTAGAGCATGTGGCACAGAGTGGCATCCAGGTGGGTTTGGAAGATCTCCAGAGAAGGAGACTCCACAACCTCTCTGGGCAGCCTGTTCCAGGGCTCTGTCACCCTCCCAGTAAAGAAGTTCTTCCTCACATGGACCTGGAACTTCCCCTGTTTCAACTTGAGCCCATTATCCCTTGTCCTGTCATTGGCCACTGCGGAGAAGAGCCTGGCCCCATCCCTCCTAGCTTTACCCCTAAGGTACTTGAACATGTTGATCAGATCTCCTCTCAGTCTTCTCTTCTCCAGACTAAACAGGCCCAGCTCACATAGTCTTTCCTCATATGACAAATGCTCCGGTCCCTTAATCATCTTTGTGGTCCTACACTGGACCCTCTCTAGAAGCTCAATGTTCTCCTTGTACTGGGGTGGGGCCCAGAACTGCACCCAATACTCCAGATGTGGCCTCACCAGAGCTGAGGAGAGGGGCAGGATCCCCTCCCTCGACCTGCTGGCAACGCTGCTCCTGATGCAGGCCAAGATCCCATTGGCCTTTTTGGCCACAAGGGCACATTGCTGACTCATGGTTAACTTCTTGTCAACCAGGGCTCCCAAATCCCTCTCCGCAGAGCTGCTTTCCAGCAGGTCAACTCCTAATCTATACTGGTGCCTGGGGTTACTCTTCCCCACTCCTTCCCCTCCTTCCTCCCCCTTCTGCACTTGTCCTTGTTGAACCTCATGAGGTTCCTCTCCCGCCCAACTCTCCATCCTGTCTAGGTCTCTCTGAATGGCAGCACAGCCCTCAGGAGTGTCGGCCACTCCTCCCAGTTTGGTGTCATCTGCAGACTTGCTGAAGGTGCACTCTGTGCCCTTGTCCAAGTCATTGATGAACAAGTTGAACAGTACTGGGCCCAGTACTGATTCCTGCGGGACACCACTGGCCACTGGTCTCCAACTAGATTCGGCCCCATTTTGTCACCACCCTCTGGGCTCTGCCATCCAGCCAGTCCTCAGTCCACTTTACTGTTCACTCATCCAGTCCACACTTCCAGAGCCTTCCTATGAGGATGTTAAGGGAGACTCTATCAAAAGCCTTGATAAAATCAAGGTAGACAACATTCATGGCTCTCCCATCGTCCATCCAGCCAGTCACCTCATCGCAGAAGGCTATCAGGTTTGTCAAACACAACTTTCCCTTAGTGAATCCATGCTGACTACTCCTGATCAACTTCTTTTCCTTGATGTACATAGAGATGGTCTTTAGGATGAGCTGCTCCATCCCCTGTCCAGGGACGGAAGTCTGTAGTTTTCCAGGTCCTCCCTCTTGCCCTTTTTGAAGGCTGGAGTGACGCTGGCTTTCTTCCAGTCCTCAGGCACTTCCCCCACCCTCCATGACCTCTCGAAGATGATGGAGAGCGGCTGAGCAATAACCCCTGCCAGTTCTCTCAGCACTCTTGGGTGCAGTCCATCCAGGCCCATAGATTTATGGGTGTCCAGTTTGCCCAAATAATCCCTAATCCAATCCTCCTGGACCAGCAGAAAGTCCTCCTCTCTCTCATTTTTCTCTCTTGTCTCCAGGCTCAGTAGTTCATGGGGACTGGCCTTAGCAGTAAAGACAGAAGCAAAGAAGGCATTTATTAATTCTGCCTTCTCTGCACCCGACACCACCAAGGCACCCTCCCCATTCAGCACTGGACTAACATTTTCCCTAGTCCTGCTCTTGCTGATGATGTATTTGTAGAAGCCCTTCCTGACAGCTCTTGCTAACTCTAATTCAAAATGGGCCTTGGCCTTCCTTGTTGCATCCCTGCATTCTCTGACAATGTTCCTATGTTCTTCCCATGTGGCCTGGTCCTTCTTCCACATTATATACGTGCTCTTTTACTCATTCAGTTTACCCAAGAGCTCCTTGTCCATCCATGGAGGTCTCCTAGCCGCCTTGCTCAACTTCTTTCTTATAGGAATCCTGAGCTTGGAGAAAGTGGTGTTTGAATATTAGCCGACTCTCCAGGACCCCCTTCCTTCTAGGACCCTTGCCCAGGGAATTCCTCCAAGGAGCTCCCTGAAGAGGTCAAAGTTAGCTCTCTTGAAGTCCAAGGTTGCAATCCTACTTCTTGTCCAGTTTCCTCCTCACAGGATCGTGAATTCCAACATCTCGTGGTCACTGCAGCTAGACTGCCCCCAGTCTTCACATTTCCCACTAGACCTTCTCTGTTTGTTAGTATCAGGTCTAGCAGCACCCATGTTGGCTCATCAACCACCTGCATCAAGAAGTTACCTGCAATGTTCTGCAGGAACCTCCTGGATTGTCTGCTCCTAGCTGTGTGATTATCCCAGCAGACATCAGGTTGGTTGAAGTCCCCCATAAGGACCAGGGCCTGGGATCGTGAGGCTTCCTGCAGCTGCCTGTAGAAGGCCTCATCCATTTCCTCTCCCTGGTCAGGAGGCCTGTAGTAAACTCCCACGACCGTGTCGCCCTTGTTGGCCTGCCCTTTAATCCTCACTCTTCTTTCACCGGCAAACATTGCTGCAATCTTAGTGTCCAAAAAGTGGCTAAGAAGAGACCAGATTCTTCAGATCTTTCATATAAATTAAAGACTAGCAAATTAGAAACAAATGGTAGAATTAGTGCAGCTGTGACAAATGTCCTGATTCCATGATCAGAGGATACTGCTGGCTGTGCTCATGCAGGGCCTCAATGACTTTAATATGTCTCCATAGAAGCACAGCAGTCCCACTGCATACTGAGCTATGAGACTGGAACCTAATTCAGTATTCGGTTCCACACCCCCGTAACACTGACAATGATTCAGAGCTGGTGAGACAACTTGCTGCGGGGTGGGGGAAGGAAAAAAAAAAAAAAAAAAAGTGTTTTAAAACACTCTAATATTAGCTTTTTGTGTGTCTAACATCAAAACATTTTTTCACTTCTATTCAATCAAAATTAATCACTAAGATTACTACAGTAATTTATGTTAGAGGTTATTGAAACAAATGTTTTATTAAAATCTGTTTTTATTAATAAAACGCATTCTGGCTATGGAATCATATGAGTATGCTATTAGAGACTATTAACTAGGGGCTAGGAGCTAATCATAACAGCCATGCTGCCAGTTCCTTTGACAGCAACACACACGGGGTTCATTTCTGCTTTTATACTTACCAGCGCATTCAAGTCAATCAGTTACCTTTGCAGATAAACATTTAATCTATCTCTTGTGAAACAGGAAAAGGAGATGGAGCCATTCAGTATTTCTCAGTACAGAAAAGGGAATCAGAAAGACACTCACCAGCCTGATTAGTTGTGATGCTGACAGCAGCAAATTGCCTGGAAAGTGTACTCAAGTCAGATACCCCATTGACTGCATCAATCTCAAAAGTGTAATTGGTATGTGCCAAAAGGTCCACTACTGTCACTGTTGTGTTGGTGAGTCCAATCTGGCGGGGTAAGAATCGCACATTGTCACTACACGGCTCACACATCTTGGTGTTTCCTCCACATTTTTTGCAAATGATGTTGAAAGTGACATCTTTCCGACCTCCTGTGTCAAGAGGCCAGCTCCAGTCCAGGATAACAGATGTCTCATTGATGTTAGAGATAACATTTCTTGGAGCAGATGGTGGTCCTACAAACAGAAACAGGAATGGAGAAGCATGAGTTTTTCTGTAGTGTTCCTGGACAGGAGCAAATACAAGAGTGACAAACATAAATAACCAAACACTTTCAAATATTTTCCTGAAGAGACTCCTGAAATATTCTACTGAACTACAGATATAGACATCAAGGACCATATTTTCTTATAGCCTTCTGGCACTCTCAGTGTATAGCTCAGGACTGCGGGATAGCCTCAGAGTTATTTAAGACAGTTACTGATATTACAAAGGATGTTGCTGAAAATATTGCTAACAATTTTAAATCCTAGCTCTGCTTCTCAGGTTTGACAGAGAACAACAAGGAGAACACTAAGAAGAGCAGCACATAAATTCAGCCCAACAATTTTTGATAACTTGCCCAACATGTAAGAGGACTTAGAAGGAAGTGAAGGGCTGATTAAGATGAGATGTGAGAGGAAGCAAGCAAGGAAGCAAGCTAGGTACTGAGACACACATGGAGGAAGACAGCCCAAGCATAATGATGCTACTCACTGGTGCAAGCCATGGATGGAGGGTCTTTCTCAGAGCGAAAGAAATTCTTTTCACACCTGCAGTTCAGAGACCCATCTTCATATGTAGAGCTATGGGGTGGGCATTTGGCACATTTCACATTGCCAGGAAAGGCTTTGTAGAACCCAGGTCGACAAACTGAAAAATGACAAGAATATAATTTTAAATCCCATAGATACCTCCTTGATTTTAACACATAATTTTGTTTTTATCCTGAAATCTATCCATACACAGGTCACATTTTTGGGAGTGTCAACAATCTAGAAAATACATTTTTTTCTCTTAATAAGAGAGATGATGGCACTAAAGCCTCTTGATATAATAGTTCTTTGTGCACAGACTTTGATTTATATTTAATTTTACCTGGATTAAAAGAAAACAAACACCAGTGAATTGCACTTCTAACAAGAAATAGTTCCTATTTTGTATTATTAGAACTTTCCTCATTCTTCCCGTCTGGTTAAGTTACAAAAGCACTGGCCCTATCTTGCATTATTGCAAGGACCAAACGGCAGGCTCAGTGAGCTGCTTTTGATATTGAGAGAATATCAGAAACTCGCATGGTCTGAACTACCATGATGATTTTAGCATTAACCCAGTCCTCTAGTGACAGTGCTTGAGCACACGTGAGCTGCCTCTGACAAACTCCAGGTGTTATTGTTCACTAACTTTGGCACACTCCTGTTTCTGCTCATGCTGCATTTTATATTGACTCTGTGCCACATTTACATCAGAAGAAAACAAAGAAAGCAGTCCTTGAAACAAGCTGCAGAAATGAACAATTAAGTAAATAACTTTCCGTGAAAAAAACATGGAGCAAAACAACACTGTTGATTCCTTTCTGATAAGATCATCTCACCATCTGAAAATAATAATAAAAAACCCACGGCAGATAACAATCATCAAACTTTACTATTCAACTGTTGTTTCTATCCAAGAAATACATTCTCCTCCAAATGCAATTCATCAAGTGAAACTGTTCTCATACCAAGAACAGCAATTAGCAGACAGTGTAACAAAAGTGAGTACATCTTAAAACACGTTCAGCTTTTGACTGCCCAGGCTTCAGACACACACAGAAAAACAAACTTAGTTAAAATGGCCCTGAGCCTGTCATTGATTTAGATGTTAATTTGAAGCCAGAGAATGGGTTCATCAGTCTTAAGGTACACCTAAATAGACCTACGGTTTTCATTTTGCTTATGAAGATAAAATGATTCATCAATGTAGTACAAAAAACAGGATACAAGACAATATGGTCTTTTGGGTTCATTCATTTGCTGCCCAAACAGAAGAAAATGCCGATAGAGTGAATGAAAGAAAAAAATAGAATAACAATCCCAACACTTTTGAAAGGGTGCAGTATTAAACCTGATGGTCAGCTTCCACATTAATATCTCAAGCCAAACACTAATTGCCAAGTTGGGCAAATTTGTTAGTTTTTGGTGTCAAACACCTGAGTAAGACTCACTGAAAAGCAGAAGGAAAACAAGAACCCCTACACATGTATGTCCTACTTTGCAACATAAAGAACTCGCATTACATCAAACACAGTCTGAGAAATATGAAATGTTTAACAAGGAAGCGCTAATCTTAGCCACCCTTTAGCACTTCACAAACCTTGCAAATAAAACCTGCCTGGCTGAAGCTGCTACTGATACCTCTTACTTCTGTGCTAACAAAAGAGTTGAGAAAGGCATCCCACACAGTTCTCTCCCGTTAGCCCTAATGAAATGATCTGAGGTTTGAGCCTCTGATATGTGGGCCCACCAGGCCATTTTTGAAAACTGAATTGCCAGAAAGGCCCTTGTAGTTCACACAGCTTAGTATCAATCCGCAGGATATGGTAAAACCTGTCCTTTAGCCACAGTTTACTTTTGATTCCATCTTCTTAAAGGCTTTGAGAATGTTCAGGGATTTTTGTTTGTTTTATTTAAGGAACATAAAGGAAACCTCAACCACTCTTTAACACCTCTCCAGGAACAAATACATCAAACACCACAGCTTTGGCTTTTTGGTTTTGTTTTTGCTGTCTTTCTACTTTTAAGACTCAAAACTCATTGCCTTCCAAATATTGCCCCATGAAAAATATGTCAGAGTCAACATGACATACTTCTTTTTCCCATCTTTTGGCATAGGGCTAAAAATTATTTTAGTGTCTCTTGGCATATAATGGTCTCTGCTGGCCTGAAGAAAAACATTCAATTGGGGAAAAAAAAAAAAAAAAAAAAACAGTCCACATATGTGAAGCACTAAAACACACCCTTTCTAATATGCATTTTCAAAGCACCTAGCAATCAATGCTTTCATACAGCAATTAGATTAACATAAGTAAACAAGCTCAAGTAAGAAGCAAGTGTATTTTGTGGGTTGAAGAAGAGAAATGCAGGCACCAATTGCTCCATTAATAAGTGTCTCTCTCATTGATCCCTCAGGTGGAAACCCCTAGACCTCCTTTAAGAAAAGGTGGTGGGTGGCAGGGAGGAAAGGGAAAAAAGGGTGAAGGAAGCATCATTCTAGTAGCGCCACACTGGAGGGGAGTCCTATTGTTTTATGCTTCCTCTGTTGTTCTCCAGAGCGAGCAGTCTGTGTGGGGGAGCTGGTTACATCCTTGCTGCCCCAATATGCCCTAGAGAGGGCAATCTGATTTGTATCTTCCCCTCAGGCTCTCTCGCACTTTCTGCCTCTGACTGTCAGATCAATTTAAGATTATTCACCATTGCAGCCCAAAGGAGAAAAAAAAAGCAATTACACCTGAAATTAAAGCTTGGAAGGGAGGTGCTGATAAGCAGCAGTCACAACATATTTACTCTTCTTTTCTTAGTCATTTCTAAATTTTTTTTTATATACAAGAGAGAAAAGGTCTTTAGTTCAAGACGGATTCTTTGTATGTATGAAAAATTGGACTACGCTAACTGATGGGAGAGAGTACGGCTTTTCAGACTGAATACCGCTGCTTTGGTTTCAATCAGGCTGACAAAAGAAAAAGCACTGGCACATGAAATCTTCACAGAATCTGTAATTTTAGCATAGGAACCAGCTGCAAACAGCACTTGCTGCTTCTTAACATTTTCTTCTAGGAGCCTTAGGAATTCTTCTTTCCTTCACTTCCATGAGAGAACATGGAATATTCCTTCACTTTCAAATTAGAGAAGAACGAGTTTATCTTTGTCCTTAATCACTTAAGCTATTGACTTTTCATAATGATTTAATGTTAAAAAAAAAAAAAAAGGAAGGGGAAAAAAGGAACCCCTGGAAAATATTTGTAGCACTTTCACTTGAAGCATTCAAAGCTATCCATGATCCAACAGCTGTGATGAGGCGGGATGAGAAAAGAGCTGGAAAGAGGGCTCTCCTGTGGCTGCCATTTACTGCCACAGAGGCCTAGGCCGCAGCTCCCGCTCCCCGCACACACAGGGCTCACAGCCAAGGTGGCCACCCCACAGAGGAGCGAGGGTGTCTGCGGGGCGAGAAATCTTCCGTGGGGACCTTCACCACCACAGCTCAGTGGTGGGACAGCCCTTGGATCCTGTGCTGAGAGCTTCCAGCCCACCACACCGCGGGGCTTGGGAAGGAAGGAAACACTCCAGTCTTCACACCCATGTCAACCATTCCCGGCAACAAATAGCAAATAGACAGTGCTGCTAAAGGACAAATAATGTGATAGGAAGTAGATGCAATGGATCAGGAAAAAATATGTCTCAACACACTAAAATGGAGTAAAGAAAATCTTGAGAGTTACTATATTTGTCATACAAGCTACACGACAAGGCTGTTTTGTTTTGCTTTTTACAGGCTCCTCAATGCCTGTTGACACTGGTAACTCCTGTGACAATTCTCATCTAAAATACGACTTCAGAACAATATGTAGTGTGATTTCAGTCTCTTTTACTTGAGTGTAAGCAATACTGACTTTATTGAAGTTACCTGCTGGTAACACTTTCAGGACAGCAGTTGTCCTCATTACCGTATAAAAATGAGTTTCCTTAAGCTATAACCAATGAGGCTGTCTTAGTCAGAGACCAAAGGAGGGAAAGACGCCTCAGTGAGAGCAAAACAAATGTATGCAGCACACTGTGGTAGTTACTGCTAAAAGAAACATGACTGTCTGCAACAGCAGAGCGAATTTTGCCTGTTTGACTAACGTGTTTGACTTTGAAGGGAAAACATGGTCCTAATTAAGGGTTAAATGATTCATTTCAATTTGAATTAATTTTAAATTAAAATATAAAGCTGTTAGTAAATTGGGGTGCTTGAGCATTCAGACCCTGCAGCCCCTTGTGCACAGAACAATATCACCAATTCCCCGCCGTAAACACAAACTAATGACCCGAGCTGGCGCTGCCCGAGCAGATGATTTCCTGGCCCTGGCATCGCAGGCCTGACAGCGCCCATTTGCCAGCACAAGGTCAAAGCAAAGCTGCGAAGCAAGCTGCTCGCCACATCTGATGGGAACACCAGCCTTTGCAGCCCGCTGAACAGAGGTGCGTACGATGCACGGGCTAGAGGAACGCTGCCTTGATGCAAAGCTAAGCAGATAGACGCAGTCGTCAAGCAGCGTGCGCAACGGGCAGCCAATACTGAGGCATCGAGCATTTCCTTCCTCTTGTTCCTCTGCTTTTCCTTAAGGAAAAAAAGCCTAAGGGCAAAATGCTACTGTGGCATCAAGGCACAGAACTAGGAAAATAAAAGAATTCAAACATGAACGAATAAGGCTCATGGATGTTTTAACACCACTGCCCCCCTGCCTGCTTTAGCAAGACAGGTGTCAGCAGCCCTGGGACACACATCATGTATTTCTGCTCTACAGAGGGAGTGGGAAGGTGCTGCTCCCCCACACAGCCTGTTCCTAGGGCCTCGCAAACCGCTCTGGCTTTCAGCCGCATGAAGACCATGCGCCGGCCAGCAGCAGAGCCCCCCTTACCCCAGCCCTGGAGCCGAGGGAGTCGCTTTGACAGCGCAGGTGTGTGGGGAGGCTCCTGCTACCCAGCAGTTCACCTTGACTCGGAGATGAAACCTGAAAGGTTCTCTGGTCCCTTTTAAAGCCATTTGCACAGTTCTTTTTTTAAACAATAGGCACATTATGTTCACACTCGGAGATGACAACAGCACTATATTTATCACCAGTAACCAAACAG